GCCAACCCAGTCCAGCCAGGTTATTCCTGGGCACAGTGCTTTCGAGTTTTTAACACTATCCTGAGTTTCACTGAACTTCTTACTGAATTTTTTTACAGATGTTAGCCTCGCTTTTCGCCCGGGGGCGGAGTGATGTTGGATCCACGATTTTCGTATTTGCCGCCCAGCCAGGCACAGGAGGGTCACAGCTGGCCGGCCGGTCGATAAATAACGCGTAACCGATTTTCGTATTCCGCTGGGCTGCTATTTCCGATCTACAAGGTAAGTTTTTACCTAGATACCTTTGAAAAATATACTATACAAACTTAGAGGTGCTCCTCATTTTTGAGTTTAACGTTATCCAGGTTTCTTTGTGAATTTCCAAAATATTTTAGCGATTGTCGAGCCGAAAAGGCGATATAAACCTATTCAAATAGCTGTAAAACCGATTAAAATCTTTTTAGCCCGGATTCGTACATATTTATTATGCGGTTTTTTGGCGTTTTTTTCTACTTCGACTTCGCGATTTTCGTAAATTCTGAAAAATACGTTTAGGTGGCTTCTTGTGCGCGGGAAGAAATCATAAACGAAGAAAATAGTTTAAACCGGTGGTATTTAATGCGTTTTACCATATTTGACGCCATCAAGTTAACGTAAAGACTACATTATTGTCACTGAGAATTGCCTCTTCATACTTTAAAACCTTCCAATTTTAATTTTTTCATAATTAATATTACTTAGTTGACATTGTTCAAAATTTTTGCTATATTTTATCGATAAAAAGCTCATTTTACACTTATTTTGTTTCCAGACCAGATGTCCCTCGGATTTCTGAATTGCCCCAAATGCGGGACGCCCTTCGACAACGAACCAAACTGAACTCACAGCCCGCTGGCCACCTGGGGCGGACCGAATTGTCAGAACTGTATGCCGCTTTGGAAGGAACACTGCCGGTCTGTGTGATGGACCAGTTGAGATAGTCGAATCCTGAAGAAGACGCGGGAAGGATGGGTTCGACTGGAGCCATTGAACCCTGGAAATGTCCGCGGTGTCAGGAGGATTTACAAGTAAGAGGCAGTTAACGTTGGGCTTGCCTTTTTTGAAGCAGAACTGTATCTTAAATCGAGTATTTCGATAATGAACTTCGCGACTCGTTCGAGGAGAGAGAAAGCAGAGGAGAGAGAAAGAGCGAGAGAGAGAGTTGGAGAGATACTTCCCGTAATTCGATCCAAGAATCTCGATTCAAGGAGCGCCCTCATTTTCAGACCAAGGCATCCACGACCAATGCTATTCGAGGCCTGCCTGCATCTGATATGCATTTCCTTGTGAGGCGGCGAAATCTAGCTGCGAACATGGGCGATCTGGACTCGTCCATAAAGCGCCGACCGATCTTGCCGCTCATCCAACGATTTCAAGAATACGTCAAGGGCCCTGAAAATCGGCGATGCCAGGAAAAGGTATGTAGATTTGTTTTAGAAGAAACCGAAAAACATTAAGGTGGTATTTCATAGTCAAAACAAATTTCTCCCTTCAGGAAAAAGCGCGCCGGGATAGCCTGACCAAAAGGATGCACTCTGGGACTCATACGGAGTGACCGATGCCACGAGAAGTGGAACTCTACTCAAATCGTCGCCCTGTCATGTTCCGGACGATGGTCTGCCAACAGTGCTACGATTTCGTGGACGGACAGAAGGCCTGTCAACTCTGTACGGACCCCGTTGTACGAACACAAAGATCTCAAGCGAGAAGATACTGTGGGAGATGGGACAGCGGAAGGCTTTGAGCGGTATTATCATGATTTGAAGAACAAACGAGTCAAAATCCGCATGTCCCAGAAAAACCGTGCGTTACAAAAATTATAGCGGTACCGCCAAGGTGCTTTTCCCGCAAGAGCTGAACATTTGAGCACAAAACTACTTTTTCGGATAAAAATCCAGCTTTTGGGCGCATGGCATTTCTGCATTTAATGTCGTAATCTCGCTAGGGACGACCTAATTCATCGATCTCGGAAATCCGCGCGGCCAGTTTTAAAAATTGGAAACGGCAAAAACGGTTTTGATTATTTCAATAACTTAATAAAAAATTCGGAATTCGTAAATTAGCGTATTTTTACGTCCGTAAACAGGGGCTAGTAATTGTCGAGCGCGATCAGGCTACGATGGTTTTTGGTCATCGCTCGTTTCCAGGAATTGACGCTGAGGGGGATGCGGACCGCTTCACAGACCCTTAAAAAACCGCTAAAAAACAAAGCACATCTGGAACTTTATCGAATTTTCAGGCGACCTCTCACTCACCTCAGCGACACCGACTCCACTCGAGCTTTCGGGGACCATGCCTCCACCCAGGGCCCAATCGTCGGGCGACAGATGCAAACGTTGCAAGCGCGAATTCGAGCTGCAAGATCTGTTCGCGTGTCCGCAATGCAAAAATATTGTCGTCTGCTCGAGCTGTATAATACGTGAACATCGAAACCACGAGGTCGTGGAACTGGTGGTCACCAGGATTGAGGGAGCTGGAAGCGACAGTCAGCCGGGACTTGCCACGACGATTCGAAGGGCTCTATGGAAATATCGCCACCGTCCATAAGGATATTTTGAAGAGTCAGAAGGAGCTGCTGGGAACGACGACGAGTAATTTAAAGGTAGGCACGGTGATTTAACGATATCCGGCGTTTTTTACGATAAAGGGGCTAGGAAGTCTAAATTTAAGTGCCCAAGGATTGAACCTATTTGTAAAAACGAAGTGATATGGTCTAAATGTACGGAAAACATTAATTCTATTGCGAGAAATGGACAACTATTTAGAAAAAACGATATATTTTTCGGCAAATTCGGCCCTTTCGGGCGACCTAGGATTACATGTCGTAATACGCTCTAGGATACCGAATTGCTCGGTTTTCGTTGCATATAAAACCAATTTTCATCAATAAAACAAATAGAATATCAAAAAATGCCTGAGAATACCAGCCGCGATGTCAGAATTTGGAAATTCGTACGTGCGTAAGTCACGTGAAAAACCGGCGTGAAAGACTATGCCGCGCATTCGCGCTGCGGCTGTTTTTGTCTATTTGCCAGGAATCAAAGCTTCTTTTCTCCTTTAATTATTTAGGAGTACTTTGAAAATTCAGACATTTTTATTCAACAATTTAAACCCTAAATTCTAATTCCAGAAAATCTCTGAAGCGAACGACTACAGCAGCGGCTCGCAGATGGCCACCGAGCTGATCGAAGTCGCAGATATCTACGAAAAATGCTTCGAAAAATATCTACCTCACGCCCGTGTATACAACGAAAAATGTTCAAAAGTTGAAAGAGTACACCGCGAGATTGATGGAACGATTTAATGCGCAACCGGATTCTTAAATTTTGGAGTTCAATTTGTATTTGTATCTAATTTGTGTCGATGTGTGCCTTTGGATGTCTAATATTTGTATTTAACATGTGTCATGTAGTGTTAAAGGAATGATAAATATGTCAATAATACCTTAAAAGAGGGGATGCCATGTATATAAGATATAAACAGTTAGAAAATACAAATCTATATGGGACTGCAGGGGCGAAGACAAAATTAAGCGGGGCAATTCTATCAGCGTATTTTTGCCTTTGGCTTTCAGGATGAGACCACCCTCGCCTTCGTTTCGAAAGTAGCGACAGATAGTTTTTCGAGTGCCCTTTTCTCCACGGTGCATTTCTGGCCCTTTCGAATCTTATCCAACTATATATAAAAAAATAAGTGTATGTGTGTGTGTGTAACTTTGCATGCAACTTCCGTCAGTATGTTGCCAGTCGTATCTCGATAGAGAAAAAGATTGGTGTATGTTTATACGTCATTAGATGCGTAATCGTCTCGGGACGACTTCACATATGCTAAATCACACAAAAAAAGTGCTATATCCTACTATCCTACTATATTTATATAAAAAAAATAGTGTTTGTGTGTGTGTGTGTGTGTGCCACTTTGCATCCACTTCCGTCTGTCTGTCCGGAAGGACATCTCAAGAAGGGACGGGTATTAGGCCACGTATGATACGTCATTGGTGCGTAATGGTCTAGGGATGACTGCACACATATCAGATTTTCAAAATTAGCCATTTTAGCTATTAAATTTAGGTTTTTGTAAAAAACCTCTTTGTTAGGAATAATTAGCCTAGACCGGAAGTGGACCGTCGCCTATATAAAGGGGCAGAAAGGGTTGTTTTCATTTTTGTCTTCTGATTGAATGGAGGACAATTATGCAAAGGGCAGAATAGTATGGGGTCCGAGACGGGGCCAGGGTTGAAAAGTCGCGAAGCGGCTTTTCAACCCTGGTTCGATATTAAATTAGGTTTTCGTAAAAATTTCGGTTATCCCTTTGTTAGGAATCAACTAGGAATGCGCCGGGAAGTAAGGTAAGCCTATATAAAGAAACCGAAGACATTTTTATCAGTTTTTTGGCATTGCGGTTCGCGAGAATTATGCAAATTAAGAACTTTCATTGGATAAGACGGGACCAGGGTAGAAAAGTCGCGAAGCGGCTTTTCAACCCTGGTCCTTCATTAGTTCAATAGATTCCGGTCGATATCAGTCGCTCTTTCTCTGTCTCGCTCTCTCTCTCTCTCTCTCTCTGTCTTTCTCTCTCCGTCTCTCTCAGAATGCCTCCGTGCCATTATGTAAACACTAGACCATTTCGAGAATTTCGCAAAACAAACTAACAAAAAGGAACCAAGTTGACCCATCTAATAAAAAAATGGGTCAGCCGACTTTTAATGGTATTAACACTAGGCTACACACCGATGCGAAATACACTGCGTAATCGCCCGGCTGTCCTACGGCCCCAGATTGTTTGCTGCAACGAGCGCCGTTATCACTTCTTACTCACTGGTTTCAACTATTAAGCGGTTGTATGAATCTACTTGTAAGTTTTTTATTGCGACGGTTTCTGGTTTACAACTCTTTCCTGTCGGTCTCCCCATCATAGTTTCTGATCTAAGGAATCCTAAAGAACCTCATTTTTTTGTTGAATTTTACTTCAAAATTTCCAGGATGCTCAGAGCCGACTGGAAGGTCGTTCGTCCCTTCCAGTCTTTGAGATGCGGCTTGTGCAGACAGCCGCTCGATAGGGATAAAAAACGCACAGCCCTTCTGCTGTTCCAGTTGCAAAGCTTGGCGATGTGCCAGATGCATGGACGGACCTACCTGTTCTCCTCCGCCCGAGATTCCACTTTGAAAATCCCGATCACGCTGATCCTGGGTTACAAAGCCGTCAGTGGACGCCTACAACGCCCAAATAGGATACGATGACGCAAGACAAAGTGAATTTGTGGCAAAACTGGAAAATGAAATGGCTCTTCTATGCGACTACTGCGGCCAGAATTTTAAATGGTGTGCAGGCGAGGGCTTGCCTAGCCAGACAATAGCTTGCCCGGGATGTCGTGGCGCACTAATCTGCAAGGGATGCTCAAGAAGCTTCGTGATTGAAGATCTCTTCGTGTGCATCCAGTGCGAGCAAATGACGGTCTGCGGATCCTGCTGCCTGCGCGGACACAAAAACCATGAATACATCGATTATAAGGAGCAAAAATTGAAGACTGTAGAAGCCGATGCCGCGGGCTTCCTGAAACAGCATTACGAAGGACTGTTTGGGAATATTCAAGGAATTCACGCAGAAATTGATCAAGACCAAAAAGAGTTGATGGAGGCAAATAGCGGACGAGTGAAAATGGTCTCTGGCCAAGGAGTTTACAAGAACGGTGCTAAAATCGTTGGCCAAGCTGAAGGAAGTTGCAAACGGATTCGAAAACTGCTTTGAGGAGTACTTGCCGTATGCACGAATCTATTGCACAAATTTGCAGAAACTGAAGGAAAAGCTGGAAGATTCGATTGAACTGACTGAATAAATCCTCTTTCTGTTTCAAGGTCGGGATTTTGACCGGCAAGCTGCGTGAAAATATCGTAAAAAGGCAGCAGAGGCCTTTCGCATTTTGTCAAAATTTTGAAAGCGCCTCGCCCAGGGTTAAATTTAGCAAAATGGCGTGTAAAATGTCGCAATCAGATAAAAAGACGTTGTTGATGATAGTTGCAAACTCGCCGTTTTCTCGCTTTTCGAATGGAGTAACTATTGCTCCGATCCGATACTTCTGCCTTAAGTTGTTTTTTAAACAAAAAAAAACTTTGAAATTCTTTTAAGGGGTCTACACCTATTTTATCTTCAATTTCATGGCTTTGTGCGGTTGTGAACATCAGAATAATTAAAGAAGCACAGAGTAAAATCTTGTTTGACGGTCCCAGCAGTCGAACCACCGGGCTACAGCCTTCGAGGGAGCCGACATGGTGCCGTCGCCACGTGGGCGGGTCTTCTCCTCTATCCACCCAGCGCCGCCTCACAGAGACACAGGGGAAGGTGAGAGATAGCCGCGCACCAAAAGTCTCGTGTAGACAGGGTGTTGCAGAAAACCCCTACCTAGTCTTCCACAGTCAATTCCGGTTTTTACGATTTAGGTATCTATCGGAAGCTCTCAAAAAGGCGAGAAAACAAGGAGGGTTTGTTTTCGTTATTATGTGTTTTATTCGCTAATTTTACGTTCAAAAACAATGAAAACCGCCGATTTATGCAAGATCGGCATGCTAATTCCGAAATTCCTGCTGAAGAATTACCGTTTTTGAAAGCCTTAAATATCGATGGAATCAGGTTAAATTTCAAAAAACGAAACCCGCTTATTTTCCCGCTCTTTCGGGTTTTTTCGATAGATAGCTATGTCGTCAAAAAAATTTTAGGACAGCCTATAATTCCGGGACAATTGGTGACAAACCTGGGAGAAACGATGCCCGAATAAGGCCTGCAGCCGACGGCAACGGACGGACGGAGGGACGGCCGCGACGCGTATGCCTATGATCCATGGACTGCGTGGCGTGTCGCGGCTGTGATGAAGTCCAAGCCTAACGGCGTTCAAAGCTAAAAAATCAGCCGTTTCACAAAAAGTCATTAATCACAAAAATCACAATCTCAAAAATCACAAAAAAAAGATCCCAAAAATCACAAAAAGAGTTCTGAAAACCACGATTCAATGGGGACGACCGAAAAATGTTGCCTAAATACGGCCACAAATTTTGCATAAACCATCATTTCCGCGGGTTCTCCATTGCAACAAATTTAGCCTAGCCGAACCGGAAGTTGCCCCACATTTGCATTTAAAATTTGGTAGAAAATGGATTTCGGACACTGGGGCATCATACGAATTCGTCCTCGGCCACGGATGGTCGTCAGCATGCTGCGCCAATTGATGCTCGTCGCCCTGCTCCTGCTCCTCGCCATCCACCTTCCGGGCGCTCATGCTCAAGAGGTACAAATTTTTTTCAAATTCAAACTCCTCTTTTGATGTCATTATCACGCACTCTTTTGCAGGGCTGCCCGGAAGGCTACGGTCGACCTCTCGCCTGCTTCGTCGTCAGGGATCCGGAGCAGCGGTCGGCTGCGGATGTAGGTTTCATCTCACTCTCTCCCTCTCGCTCTTCCTCTCTCTCTCTCTCTCTCTCTCTCTCTGTCTCACTCTCTATCTTTCTCGCTCTCGCTCCTCTCTCTCTCACTCTCTGTTTCAGAATGCCCTCTGCCACTGCCCTGTGGCCCCCGGTGCAGTCTGCGACAATCATTCGCACATCAAGGCAATAATCGTCACTCATTAGTATCAAACCCTCTGCTTTTAGGTCTTCAACAAGACGATGTGGCTGAACTGCAACTTCGACCTGTTCATCGAGAAAGAAGGGGGATGCTCGACGAAGGATCAGCCGAAGGATGGGCCGAGGGGGATCTGCCTTGCTGGATGGGAGCACGCCGCCGTTCCGCCCGATCCCACCACCACTACATCGGTTTGGCAATGTCATAATCTTGGGATACGGATTTTAGACGACAACCACCACCACCACGACAACTACGACAACTACCACCACGACGACGACCACTACAACAACGACCACCACCACCACAACGACCACGACCACTACAACGACCACCACTACAACGACCACCACTACAACGACCACCACCACCACGACCACCACCACCACCACCACCCACCACCACCACCACCACCACCACCACCACCACCACCACCACCACCACAACGACCACCACCACTACAACGACCACCACCACGACAACGACCACTACCACTACAACGACGGCGACGACTACGACTACCACAACTACAACCACGACGACTACAACGACCACGAAGGCCCCCTTTGGCGTGTTCGTGCTCAAACCGGATGCCCGAAAGGTCGGTGGTTGATTTCCCCCGAGTAATTCCGCACGGCCCTATAACAAAATATACACCATTTTTATAGCATTTTGCTCAGGTTTTAGATATCAAAGCCTTATCAAAAACATTCCAACATGTTCGAAAATTGCGACTCTTTTGGATCAAAAAATTTATGTAAAATAAAATGGCCAAAAATGGTCAACATTTTGAGTTTTCATTTTTAAGGTATATTTTTTAATTTTCCAGCAATCAAAAACTACCAAAAAGCACTAAAAATACATAATAGAGGATGGGGCGTTAAGTACAGGGTGTCCCAAAAAAAACGACCCATCTGGCATTTCGCCGTGTTACATCCAATCGGTCCCAAATTTGGACCAGAGGTGTATCGGACCCTAAATAACAACAATCCTGACTTATAGCCCCGTAGCTATCGTGGTTCTCGAGTTATAAGGAAAACACTGTTTTTCCCGGAATTCTGAAGCATTTTTTCGGCTATCTTTTCGGACTTTTCATCGATTTGCATCGACTTCCGGCTGTGAATCCCTAATTTCGCTAAAGAACTTGCGTAATTTTGCGTTGTAAAAATCGAAATCAAATTTGTAAAAATTTGTAAAATTTGTAAAATTTGTAATCAAATCTGTAAAAATTAAACAAATGTAAACTTAAATCAAAGTTTATTTAATCAATTTTACTCTGGAAAAAATTTCTTAGGGTGAAGAAGGCCTACTGGATCATTTTCGCTTAATGTTTAGGGGGTCTATTTCCATGAAAACTATGAAAAATGGAAAATAAAGTTTGTTTTCGCTATAACTCGAGAACTACTATTGCTACAGGGCTATAAGTCAGGATTGTTGTTATTTAGGGTCCGATACACCTCTGGTCCAAATTTGGGACCGATTGGATGTAACACGGCGAAATGCCAGATGGGTCGTTTTTTTTGGGACACCCTGTATAGGTGGGAAAACATAAAGGGGTTTTCCCGCTGCTAAACCCCCCGGCGCCGCCGCCGCTACGCTATCCGTCCAGAACCAATTTTTTTTTGCCATAGCACGGAGTCATCTGATTCCCCATTTCAGTGCAACACCTTGAAAGAACCCTTCGACCAGTGCGTCGACTGCGACGTGGGAGAACCTGTTGCTGACGAAAGGAACATACAAGCGGGTCGCTGCCCAAAATGCGAAGGGATTGCCGTCGAGGATTGTCCGGTATGCTGATGAGGTTTAACCCTGCGAAAATTGCGATATCGGGTCACTCCTCTAGCGAGTTTTTACCGCTAGCTGTAAGGGTCAAAAGGGGACACAGGGGTTCAAGGGGGTTTATTCCCCGGGGCGGGGCGCTCATTATTTTAAATTTTTTAAAATTTTAAATCTTAAAAATCGGCCATGTTGAGCTACGGGTTCGTGAGATAGCCGATTCAAAAGAGCTGTTTTTTTACCTCGGCGGACGCCTTACTCTCCCCACAAAAGTATTTGGCTAAACTCCAGATAACCCCCAGCCGACCCCCACCTACCGTATCTCGGCTCCCTGTTCATCTACGGGTGTGTAAAGTATACCAAAATACTCGCCAGAGCAAGACGAACATTTTGGTATACTTTACACACCTGTAGATGAACAGGGAGCCGAGGTACAAAGTTGGGTGCCGGCTGGGGGGTTATCTGGAGTCTTATTAAGTATTTTACGGAATTTTAGAACGCTTAAAAGTAGGCGATTTGTGGCATTTTGGGTATTAAAAACGATTGTAACCTTTTAATCTGAGGGGTTTCGCAACTTTTGAAAGCAGATTCTCAATCAGCAAAAAATTCTGCACAAGTTGTGCTATCTCACGTATGGAATTTCCACTTCGACCATGTTGTGTTCTTGGAATGAAGTAGAATGCGCTTCGGACAGCAGTATCAAACAACTGTTTATCTACATAAAGTGGAGGCAGGAGGATCGGCAACAGAGCTAGTCTGTGCCGATAAGTGGACCCGCAACGAGATAATACAATCTAGTCTTAGGCGGGAAGTGGCGCACGCGACGCGACCGCAGGGGGGCGCGCGCCGGTGGCTTACCCACTGGATAGGAGGGACAGCCGGGAAAGAGGATCTATTGTGGTCTAGCAAGCTAGCACCACAACACCTCCCCTTGTACAACAACAAAGTACAAGTTCCTAGGAGAAATTGGGACAGGAGAGACAAATAAGGCTTAGCCGGATTTACAGTATATGGAAATACACACCAAAAAAATAAGATGACACTTATTTTTGCTTATTTTCTTCTTACGACGCACACGAACACGACGTGGCAATCTTCCTTCCCTCAACCTTGAACACGCGCACGAACACGACGTGGCCATCATCCTTCTTTCCTTCTTCGGCTTCACTTGTAGACGCGGCCTTGGGCTTGACACGCGCACCTCCTTCGGTCCATGGCAGCGGCAGCGGCCCTTCATCCATCAATGATCCGCCAGCTTCAGCACGCTCCTTCGGTCCTTTCGTGGGTGAGGACTAACCAACTTCTTTCTTCTTCTGCAACCTTCGCGGCTTCTGGGCGGTCCTTGGGGCAAAACGGCGGCCGGACGCCGGGCACTTCTTTGCGCTTGCACCCTCCTCCTTCATCGACAACGGCAGCGCGCCCTCCACCCGAAAATGTGGGGGCAAAAAGGGGAACAAAACACCTCCCTTTCAACTGATCCTGCACGAGCGGCCACCGGCACATCATCCATCGATGGCCATCATCTGCACGCTCTGCTTCTTGATCTTCTCGCCATGCCTTCCTTGTCGCTCGCCAACCATGTAGACGTCCCTGACCTCGACCTTGTCGCTCTCCTTGACCTTGTCGCTTTCTTGGTCCTTGTCTCGTCGGCTTGACTTGACTTCTTGCGCTTCACCTTCTTTCTTCATCCTTGATCACGTTGCTTGGGCACGAGTGGCTTCTTGGCTTGGAATTCCTTGTTCTTGCGTGAGTTCTTGATGATCCTGCTCGCCAGTGTTGTGTTCTTGGAATGAAGTAGAATGCGCTTCGGACAACAGTATCAAACAACTGTTTATCTACATAAAGTGGAGGCAGGAGGATCGGCAACAGAGCTAGTCTGTGCCGATAAGTGGACCCGCAACGAGATAATACAATCTAGTCTTAGGCGGGAAGTGGCGCACGCGACGCGACCGCAGGGGGGCGCGCGCCGGTGGCTTACCCACTGGATAGGAGGGACAGCCGGGAAAGAGGATCTATTGTGGTCTAGCAAGCTAGCACCACAACAGACCATAAGAGGGTTACAGTCAGAGATTTTTGTATAAGCAGAAAACCATATTTAAAAATATTTTTATTATAAAAACATTTTGAGTGTCCCCCCTGGTTATCATATGTGTACTTTTCAGTTGACCATAGATGGTCCTAGAGATTTTCCGTGCATTTTTAGAATCTTGTGCCCTCATGTTACACCGAAAGAACCGAGGCTGTTTTCAGTGTGACGACGCGGATCCGTATTGCCTGAACTGTGCTCGTCCCGAATGGCAAGATCATCAGGACTGCCATGGGTGCTGGAGGGATGAAAATAGCGCTCATCCTTCCTGTCAAATAAGGTGCATCCTGGAAAGTGAGGTACAGCCTATCATGTTTTCGGCCCTTCTCGGTTTCCATAGCGCAGTTTCATTTTCTCCGAATTTCTGGCGTTCTGGCATTTCTTTTTCAGATCTACTATATGTCGAGGATCCCAACTGTCGATACCACCATCTATATGCCGTCTATGTGCACCGGTATCCTGGGGACGACGACTGGGTGAGCCAGCTGTTCTGCAAGGGTGTCCTGGGGACAACTTCCATGTTCCCCGACCCTTAAAATTAATATTACGCAAAATTACCCTTAAAACGTTAGATTTGGTAAGAGTATAGAAACCCCCCCCCCCCTAGCCGGCACCAACTTTTGTATCTCGCCCCCCTTTGTGCCAGCGTGCTCTAAAGTATACCAAAACGTTCGCCGTAGGCTAATTAGCAAGACTACATTGCAGTTCAGTCGAAAAAGTAGCGAAAAATAAAAATAAGGAAGGGTAGAAAAGTTGAAGGAGGGGGGGTTTCCTAGACTTGAGCCTTAAATTTTACTAAGAACATTATTAAAACACTTTTTAAATAACCCAAGGGATATCAATGTAGAAGGGCGATTTTGAGAACATCTAGTAGAAACTGGGATAATTGAGCCGTCCACGGACCCTGCACTCTGGTTATTCGGCGCCTTTTGAGAAACTCGCTTTCAGTGGCACTTCGGCCACACAGGCCCTTTCTACAAGCCAGAGGAGGTTCGTTCTTGTGCCCAGTTTTCTCAAACAACCTTTGTCGAAACACCAATAATGATAATTCTCCAGCGCGTCCATCGTGACGTTGCGGCTTCTGGAGCGCCAATCAAGCGGATCCGTCTTCGTCAGCGCACCAAGCGAGATGACGACCCGAACGTGTTCATCTACTACCCGATCAACCCCACTTACAATCCCAAGTGCCGCCGGGAAGATTTTGATAAACTGGTTGGTTATTCACTTTTCTACCAGGGTTCTGAGTTTAGACTGCGAATGAACTGGCGTTGGCCTCGATGAAGCTGCATTTTGGATGTTACGAAGGGACATGGTGCGAGGAGCAGAATGCCTTTCCTAGGTAGCATCACAATTCATTCGTTCCAACCATTCTCCACCCCTTTCAAGTGAAATCTTGGCCAATGACTCGCTGGCTCGCATCTGCTACCCGCGTCCGTTGAAGACCTACATCCTCGGCAAGGGCAGATACAAGCCGGTGAGCATCGTTTCGTTGTGGATCACATGGCGGTGACAATTCCGCGTCCGAAGTATGATGTCATTTTCAGTGGTGCACCGATCCTCACGGCAATCAGTTCGAGCCGAAGAATGTGGCGAGTTGGGGATGTATGGTACTGCCGTTCTGCAAACTGGATCAACCGGGAGAATTCGATGAGTCAGTCCGCATCACAGTCTCATCCATTATCCCCTGTATTTTACAGACAAAAATACCTGAGGCCTGTAGCTGAAAACGGAGATCTGCTGAACTGCATGGATATTTGTCCAAGAAACCAGAATGGCCGTGGATTGACGGACAAACCGGATTGTCGACCCATCCCTAGCAATCCGGAAAACGACTATTTCGGTGTCCTCAGTATAACGGTAGATATCTCCTCTGATTCGCCACAATACTCTTTACAGGAAAAGATGGATTGGTGCGACGCGGAGAAGTCGACTCACAAAGACCCGTGGTCACTCAACCCACCGTGCAATCCGATTCCGCAGTGTCGAGGAAATGTCGAAGGACGTGCTGTGGGTTTTCTAGTCGTCATTCAGACAGAAGATGATCATCTACCACGAGACAATTGCCGTATTTCAGCCGGATGCGAGGATTGGCGCAAGAATCTGCTCTACTACCAGAAAAATGTCGAAGGTGTCCCATGCGTCGTCTACAAGCAGTGCAGTGCTTTGACGGAAGAGGAGAGGCTGAAAGTGGGAGACTTGTGAAGGGATGAAGGTAGATGAACACTTTTTCCAGTACCATTGCGTCGGCTCAATCATGACAACAAGTACGACAAAAAGCCTCTGACGACGACAACGGCAAAGACGACTGCAAAGACAACGACCGAGAAACCGAATGACGGGCTGGGGATGGGGTCATCTTGATTGCAGGTAGAACATTTGGTTGTAATTTGTTCACCTCGTTTCTGCAGCCTTGGGTGGCGGCCTCTGCGTGTTCATCATCGTGATCATCATCGTGTTGTGCTGCTGTCTGAAGAAGAAGGACAAGGGCCCGAAGGGAAAGAAGCCGATTGTCGATGACATGGTGGGTAGATGAGCGCTGCCTGCGGCTCATGCCAAATCCACAATGGCCTTTTTGTAGATGAACGTCGGCGCTGGCTCGGCGGTCGTCGACCTCGACGTGGTGCCAATCAGCAATACCGAGGAGGGAGCAACGGATGCTAGCGAAAGCACTGGCGCAAAGTGTAAGTGCTCTGCGATATTTTGAGGAATATCATCTACTTTTCAGAACCATCCGACTACACGTCTCCACCTACTCGACACAATGATGGGCATCGCCATCACTCGACTACCACCCAAACATACTCGATGCAACACCAAAAACGCCCCTCTAGAAGCCCCGCCCCTCTATCCCCATCTCTCTGTATTTCTTTTGTAAATCTATGTTTGTCCATCATTCTGTTTGCCATCGCATGTAGTTTGTACCTCTGTCCCTTCGTAATAAATCGGGTGCTTGGGCTGTCATGCAGTGACATTACATGTCGACATTGTGCAACTTGGCAAGGAAGAACACGGATCTTAGAAGGCCTTGAAGTCAACGTTGTGCCTCGCGATCGTCGTGATTCCACTATCAAAATTTAGCTTGGAAGGTTTTCTACCGCTCGTCTGGTGGAGAAATGGTCAAAGTTGAAAACAGTCATTGATTTTTTTATTTAAAGGCGCTTTAAAGGGGCTCGGAAGTCAAAATTCGTGCGTGGGGATTGAACCTACGGGTCAAAAAAAAAAAGGGTCGCTGCCGAGGAGTGCCAGAAAAGTGATTTGATTGCGAAAAAAACGTAAAATATTTGAGAAAAACTTAATTCTTTTGGGGGAAAACGACCTTTTGAGTGGGCGGCGTTACATGTCGTAATGCCTCGTAAGGCACAATCTCCGATCTCGGCGATTCTCTGATCAATTTTCATAATTTAAAAGTCTGGAATGATCCAAAATTCGTTGAGGATTCCAAAAATCGCATCAGAATTTTTAAATTCAAGCGTTTTCGCGTCAAACAGGGGCAAAGACCATGCGGCGGGTCGCATCTGGCTATGCCAGGAATCACAACAGGGCCGTGGACCGATTTCGGGCCCTTTAAGGAACAAGGCATTTTGTAAAATTTTGCGGTCTACAAGCTTTGATAGTAAGTTTGCTCAATTTCTCCACGAAAAATCGCCGGAACTGGCCGTTAATTAGATGCAAATGCGGTTCCTTAATGTTTTCAAATGCATGGTAAAATCGCAGGTTTAGATAAAAACATGATTTGAAGATTGTTGCAAACTCGCCGTTGCAAGTGCTTTTGACTGGTGGAACTTTTATTCCCTGTGCGTCAAGCTAGAGGGGGTATTTTTATTGGGGACACCCTGTAGTATTTTTAAACTTAGATTCGCCCATTTCTTCCGAATAAATATTTATTAATTATTGCAAATAGCATTGTAATTGATCTAGCGTTGGATAATCTTTTGGCATATGCAATTATTTAATCAAACGCCAAGCCTGCGCAAAACGATTCTGCGTTATCAACAGGTCCATTTACGGAAAAACACTGGTTTAAACGCCCTCCTGATTCGCCTATAAATAGCAAGCCAATCCTCGACCATACCATCGATTAATTTTCTATCTACAATCGAAACAGAGCTACGCAAGGCTGCAAACCTACGCCTGAAAATCGTGCGAACGATTGGAAAGCGCTGATCGACAAATTTAATGGCGGGTGGAAGATTGTCTTCAAAAAAATAGGAACTATCGAGCGAACGTTGTGGGTCGAATGGTTCCTTGAGATCGTAGTACGCTTCTACGGTTTGTGCGGCCTTGAGCTCATCTTCAGACGGTTTCCGAAAGTGGATCCAGGGACCGGGCGGGGAAAGCCGAGAACCGCTCGCATCTCCTGATTGCCAATGATCTGCACGGCCATTTCCGTCAGTTTATGCGTTTGCATTCCGACCACTGAGAATCTAAACGGAATAAAGGATTAATTTAAACCAGGGTTAACAAGGCGCTTCGCAGCTTTTCACCCCTGGCCCTGTCTGAAGGTGTTATAGTCGTCACTTTGCATGATTTCATGAATTCCGATGACAAAAAGGTAAGAGTTTACTTTACCCCTTCCCCCACAGCCGAAGGGTTTCGAAGTTTTCGGTATATTTGCATTTTTGTCGGGATTTTTGCAATCCCTTTCGATAGGGGATCAAAAAATATACCAAGAGCTTTAATTTGAGCCTACAATAATGTAAAATAAAGAAGTTATAGCCAAAACATTCCGGCTGGGGGGGGGGTAAAGTAAACCGTAGCCCAAAAAAAATGCAAAGCGTTCCCTCGCCCAATTATATGGGTTACCGCCACTTACCGGGGATGCTGATTTTTCCCTAACAAAAAAAGCGCCAGAAATTTTTAGAAAAACTGAAATTTAGAGCTGAGAATTGCTTATTTAGCAAAATCCTATATGCTTTCCGTCTTCCCAGAAGTTGCACGTGGTGACGGAAGTTGCACATAAAGTCCCACAAACACACACAGACACAATATTTTAACATTTTCCCGCTTCGCGGGTTGTAGGTCACCTTTGTGGTTTTTGCTTTGTTTGAAAAAATTAAAAAAATAGACGAAGCACAGCGCCGCAAGCCGAAAATAGGTTGCTAAGCGGAAAACCGCCCAAAAGTAGGCAAAACAGCGCCGCAATATTGCCTATTTTTCTCAGAGATTTCACGCTTTTCGCAACGAAACGTGACTCTTTTCGCAACGTAACGAAAGTGGCCACATTACGTCCATATATTATGGCAGTATCTCAGCTCCTTACGGAAATATATTCCCAGCTAGCAGCTCGTGCTCCGTGTGGTTGAGGCAGGTTTGAGAAATGTTAGCCAGTTCTTTTCGGAATTCAATGTCGGGATATGAAGGCAAGGTGGTCGTCTCATTTGCGTCATCGCTATTGTCCGGGCCGCTCTCCGTCGATGCTGAGATGGCCGCAATACTGTTGTTAATACTAGTGCTGCATTCTGAAAATCATCAATTATGTTTGGTGAAAATCGGGCGTAAAATGGTTTGCATGCGTTAGTGAAATTTGCCATCACCACATTCCCTTCCGAACGATCCCAAAAAGCGTTGACGCCTACCTGCTGATGCGAGAGCTGCAAAAATGATCAGGAGAAGAAAGGCTGGTTTCATAGTTTTGTTTAGAAAAAAATTATTTTGAGACATTCAAGGAAGTTTGTAAGCGGAAGCCGGACGGATGGAAAAGCGTTTGAGCCCAATTATTAAAATATTCTCGAAAGGTGCGGTTTGAGTGCATGCATTCAAACAGGATGAGAAGAGGGATAGCTCGACCTAATTTTGATATTGTGAGAGAAGGTCAGAGAGGGAGTGAGAGAGCGATAGTGAGAGAGAATGAGAGTGAGAGATATAGCGAGAGAGCAAGAGAGAGATATAGCGAGATAGCAAGAGAGAGAGAGAAAGAGAGAGAGCGAGAGAGAGAGAGAGAGAGAAAGAGAGAGAGAGAGAGAGAGAGGAGGGAGGGACGGAGAGAGAGAGGGAGGGAGGGAGAGACGGAGAGCGAACGAGAGAGAGAGAGCGAGAGAGCGAGAGAGACAGACAGAGAGAGAGAGCGAGAGAGCGAGAGAGAGCGAGAAAGATCCAGAGGGAGAGAGCGTAAGAGAGAAGCTACTACCTCCAAGAAACTTTTGCGTAAGGCTTTGCTTTACCCTTCCCCCCAGCCGGAAGTTCCGGAAAGATTTTCGCTACAACTTTTTGGGCTAAAATTCAAATTCTTATGAGATTTTTTGATGTTCTATCGAATAACCTAACCAAAATCCTGACAAAAAAGCAACATGTTCAAAAATGGTTGGGAATTCTGCTCTGCTCGGAAAATTCCGGCAGAATGGAACGTACATGTCAATGTATCTGTAATAGCGTTTGCCACCAAGAAAACAGCATATATTTATTATTAAGCGTCTCTTTCTCAAGAATAAACTTATACAAGTTGAGGGGTATCTTAGAAAAGTTTACTCAATTTCATCCTTGGCATGCAAATCTATAGCATTTATTTCTCGATCGCTGAAATCTTCTCGAAACAATTGATCCACTGGCCAGATCAGCATTCTAGAGGCCGCTATGGAATCCCGCTCATCTACCACGCGATCAATTAGTTGCCGATCTACGGCCGCGCCAGGGCTACAAACGGCTTCTAACCTACGCCTAAAAACCGTGCGTATAACCGGGAAACGTTCGTCCATGAAAGCGACGGCGGGTGGGTAGTTGTGCTCGAAAAACCAAAGGCCGTTGAAGAGAACTCCAACTGGAACAGACTCCTTAAGTTCATAATAAGCTTCGAGAGTGGTCGTGGCTTGGAGCTGATCGTCATTCTGGTTTCTATAATTTTTCCATAGCCCCGAGCGCGGAAAGCCGAGCACCGAGCGCATCTCCTCAGCTTGAATAACATCCAGGGCCGCTCGCAACAACACGTTGGCAAAAGGATGTATGCCCAAGAATCTGAAAATCAGGGTGGAGAATACGGTGGGACGATCGTTGCTTCTAAAAGTCATCACTTCTAAACGTTTTTGCGTCGGATTATCGGTGTTCGCCAAATTTGGCCATATTTATTCGCCAAGCGACCGTAGGAATTTCAGACTTGGCTTGACTTGAATGACTTTTCGAAGTAATGGTTTTTAGAATTAATTCTTATTACTATCTTACTATCCCCGCCTCTGAAAATTGCGAAAAATTCAATATTAAATTCATACAATTAAAATTGGTTTAACAGCTCATTAGAATTTTGCCTATATGCCATAACTATTTTAGTTTACATATATTTTGGGTTGCAATTAGAACCCTTGCGATATTTTTTGGATGCTCTATCGAATGCGCTAAAGAAATTCGGTAAAAATTTCGTTAATGTTGAAATTTAGCTTTGCACAATAGGGATCCATAGAGTTCCCATAAAGAGCAATTAAATTTTGTTTTTGCCGTAACTATGTTATATTAAACTATTTTTGACTGAAAATAAAACACTGCATATATTTTTGATGCTCTATTGAATAGTGTTGAGAAAATCCCGAAAAATAGTTAGAAGAGCGAAAACTTTGGACTATCGGGTTTGGAGGTCAAGTAAACCGTAGCCGAGAATATTTTTTGTTAGCCCCTACTTTAATTTGTATCCGGCCATTTGTTCGTAATCACGATCCGTCAAATTGTATTCGGCCATGGCAGCCAGCTCTTTGTCGATATCGAGTGGTAGTGGCGAGCTAGTCGCATTTTCGCTGATGGTACTGTTTTCAGTGGCGCCCGCGGTGGATGTTGAGCTCAA